TACTTGTACATGTTCGTTTGTGTTTGTGTGTGTGACTGATAGAGAAAGACGAGTAAGAGGAGACAGAGAGAGACCGACCTGTAGGATGTTTTTCCTGAACTCAGCTGTGAGATTGGTGCACCCTTCCATACGAAGCATTGTCATGGAGTTTAATGATTCACCGAAGCCTAAACCTGGAACATGTGTGAACTTGGCCGAATGCGTTAGAGTCAGTTCTCTCATGTTTGACATTTGCGAAAAGTCTGTCATTGTTTCCAATGCAGGGCATAAATCTGCTTTCAAGAATTGCAAATTTGTTGGTAAATCGGGGATCGCACGAAGATTCTCGCACGAAGTTAACCACAAATATACGAGATTTGAAAGACCACTGAGGCTAGGTAGGCTACGACAACTATTGAACCCAATACTCAAATCTTGTAAAGAAATTAGACTCCCAAGGTCGTTGGGGAATTGTTTTATGGCTGAAAGAGATGCATCAAGTTCTCTCAATGATACCATCTCCCCTAAGCCGTCAGGCAGTTTTCTTAATGAACAGCCTAACAGACGAAGAGTCTCAACAGATTTCAACTTACAAAGTTTCCTTGGAAGAGACCTAAGCTTACGGCAGAATTCCAAATTTACCAAAGTGAGTCTTTTAAGTTGACCGATCGATGGGTGAATCTTGGACAAACTAAAACAGCCTCGAAAATTCAATTCTTCCAAATTTGGGAGCCTTGAAAAGTTTGGTGACTTTTTTAACTTATGGGAATAACTGAGATCAAGGATTTTCAAATTCTCGAGGCGCTGCATAAACCCAAAAGAAAATATTATTTAAAATCCAAGAAGAATATGGCCTACAATATAAAATCAGAAAGAGAGAAATAATTATAACTAGGTAGGGGTGATTGTACCTTGGAAATCTTCCAGCGTTGTGTGAGTTTGCTGTGGGGCAGGTGAAGAGCAACAAGTTTTGGTTCATTAAGAAGGTGCTTGGGCATGGACTTGAAAGGGAAACCACGCCAGCGCAACCATCTCAACTCTTTTGGAAAATGTTTGAACTTTCCAGTGAGCTTTACGTTGATGAGCTGGAGAAATCTCAGATTTTTCATATTGGCAAATGCTTTTGTGCTGAAACTAGCCTTTTTAGAGCATGGCAAATCTAGAGTAATTCCTTCAATTTCTTGAGTTCCCTGTTAAGTAAACAAAAGGATATACGATGAGTAATAAAAAGGGTAATTTGCGTGTGAATAATGATTTACTTACAAACATGAAACAGCATACTAACAATTGTTACCATTTATAGTTTCGATTGGAAATCGATTTAATATTATTTCTACACAATAATTATAAGATATAGGCAGCTGCATGCACTAGGAAATAATTTAGCGAGCATTAATATGAAACTTTGTTGGGAATCTGCTTACAGATTTATTTGTCAACACATATGTTAAGGCTTCAAGGTCCCACAGTCTACTCCATCTTTCAGGTTGAGTGGGGGATTTTTCAGAAATGATTATCTTGCACATTTCTCGAATCAAATCATGCACCATTAGCATGCCCCGTTCAACAGTTACAAGGCACCGTTCACAGAGAACACTGATTCCTATTATTGGAGATAAGCCACATCCATCTAAAATTTTTGTGACATAATCCTTCTCCACATCAACCTGGCTGATTTCAAGAAAGAAACATATATCAAGGAATATAGTCTTCTGAGTATCATCTAGCCCATCAAAGCTTATTCTAAGTCTTTCTATAATTTGTCCTTCAGGTATTCTTTTCAATTTCTCCAGATGGCTTTCCCACTCTATTATGGGTCTGCCAATAAGAGAAGAGCCTAAAACTTGGAGTGCTAACGGCAGACCCCCACAGTAAGAAACTACATTCTTTGACAATTCTAGATATTCTTCATCAGGGCAACTATTTTCAAATGTATGCCAACTGAAAAGCTCAAGAGCTTCCTCTTTATTCATTCCCCAAGCTGGATATCTCATTTTCACTCTAAGTTGATTTAGTATATGCTCATCTCGTGTTGTTATGATAAGTATACTTCTTGGACCAAACCATTCACGATTTCCAGCTATTGCATTTAGTTGTTCCACTTTATCTACGTTGTCAATAATGACAAGTACCCTTCTATGTTGGAGGTGTTGTCTTATAACAGTGATCCCTGCATCAACGCTACTAATAATTTGAGGGTTGGCATGTTGTAAGATGTCAGAAATAAATTTTTGTTGCAAACAGAGCAGACCATGTTGGCTTGTACCATGGTGGCAAACATCTTCAAGGAAGCATTTGAATTGGAAGCTATGATGAATTTTGCTATAAATGGCTTTGGCAACGGTTGTTTTCCCCAATCCACCCATCCCCCAAATTCCAACCATTTTAACATCATCTGATCCACCACTTGAAAGATCACTGATAATTGGTTGAACACGAGAGTCGATTCCAACCGGGTATTTGGCCACGTGTAATTCATCTGTGTTGGGAAGCAATTCCCTAATATTCTCTTCAACAATTCTCCTAATAAGCTTTGCTTCATGCCTGAAATCTTAATTAGTTAGCATTAACTCAATGAAGGATTACTAGAAGCTATCACTTCACTCAATTAGTAAACATGAACGACATGGAGGGTGATAATATTGCCTGACTTCTTAGACTTTCAATAAAGGTTTAAGAAATTATGGTTTAGGATTAGTGAAAAAAATAGAACCAGAGAAGATTTGGAAGAAAGACACTGTGGTCTGTTGTGTTGGATTTGTGGCTCCATTCCGATTGGGCCTTCAATTACTTGAGTGCTCCATCTGTTTAGTTCCTTTTGTTTGCACCATATATTTAAAATGAAAGACCATGATTGTCTCTTAAAAAAGAGTCCACAACCTCCAAAATATCTTTAAAAATGAGTTCTAGCACCAAGTGTTTCTTTATAGGATCGCCCACGAATTTGATCAAATCAAAAAATACGGAATAACTCATGTTATGCTCTTAAGAATCAATTAAAAGAGATCTTCTAATTCCAATTACAGATTCGTTAGGCCTTTCTATAGGACAACTTCCGTCTTGAAAGTTATTTGGCATTTTTTATACCATATCCACGATTCCTCATAATTTTGAAAATTATAATCATAATTTATAATTTGATAAATAAAAAAATACTGATGTAACCTAATGTACCTAAGCGTCTTACACAAAATCTTAAAAAGCACAGATGTTTGATATATATATGATAAAAAAAATAAAAAAAACCTCAAATTTTAGGCGATTAAATATAATTAAACTCTTGTAAAATATATTTTAAATAGGTAGTCTCCTATCTCCTTAAGCATTAGTCATATTTTATCTTGCAAATCTTGATGTTCCAATGAAGCTATTTTTCCTGTGTGCTATTTGCATAACAACCATTCATTAACATGTTTCAAAATGTGGAAAAGACGAAAATAGATAGCAGCATTACTATTAAACTAGTCGAGTATTGAAAGACGTCCAAGTCCAATGAAAATGGTTACCCCTTATTAAGATGGTGGCCAGACAAATCTGCAGCTTGAGTAAGAGCCTCTCTCCACTGCTTTACCCTTTCTTTCTTAGCTTCACGTTCTTTGTCATCTTTTTCTTCAAGGATGCCATCTTCGTGCTTCTGAAATGCTCGGGCTAAACAACCTTCCTGCTTCCTCACATGTGAAGGATCGACATCATAGAATATTGGCAAAACCTGTTGCCCCAGCTTTTCTCTACATTCCATGATCTTCACCAGCTCGTCAAGACACCATCTTGATTCCGCGTAACACTTTGAGAAGACAATGACCGAGATTCTGGACTCTTCGATTGCCCGCAACAGTTTGGGTTTTATTTATCCCCCTCGTTTTAGATTGTCCTCATCAATAAAGGCATCGAAGCCCCTGTCTTGTAATGCCGCGTGAAGGTGGCCCGTGAAGCCATTGCGTGTATCTTCGCCTCTAAAACTCAAGAACACGTCGTAATTCCAGAGCTTTGACGAGGAGGGTTCATGGGATGTCATGGTGTGGTGTTACTGTTTACGGCGCTAGAGTAGTTCCAATTGAGCGAAAAATATGGCAGCACAAGAGTACACATAATACTTAAGGGACAACTTTTGGCTCATTCCAGGAAGCGTTCCGCCTAATCTTCGGCTCTTCCAGGAAGCATCCGGCCCAAGTATTGAAGAAAACCAAGGACGTTTCCAGGGGAAAACCACGACGTTCGTGGCCACACGATCTTATCACTGGACGGTTAAGATTGAAATTTTGGAAAAGATTGGAAAAAAAACAGCTTTAAGATGAAACCGCGTTCGACAAAGTAAAAGTACACGAAATGATGGGACTTGACAGCAAGCGGTCACACCCTTCTAGGGAATATCCACGCGTCGGCACCGCGGACCGAAAATCCTCTGAGAAAGTGTCTGGATAGATGCACTTCGATTGAGATTACATAAAAAAAAAAAAAAATGTTAAAGAAATCAAATTTGAACTGATGTTGCATTTATTTTACAATTGCATCCTTATTTTAATAAATATAATATTTACCAATGCATGAGTCATATTTCTATTAAAGACACCGTCACTCACTAAAATACCCAATTCGAATTCAGAGCAAAAGAAAGATAGCAGATCTTCAAAATTTCAAGAGCTATATGTACAGCGAAAGGCTACACTAACAGAGGCAAGTGAATGAAATCGAAGACGTGAACACTTCATAGAGAAATCTGAGATATGGGTTTTGAAGATTATGCCGATCTACTATTTGCGTTTGAAATTAATGCATTAAACATCAACTGAATCGATTGAAATGTAGAGTTATGGAAGAATTGTACATCACCGACATGTAGAAAAGCTCCGATCCTTGAAGCGGAACGAAGAGGATGAAGGGGTTGCGGCGGAGGCCGAGATCTAGGAGGGAACTCCGGCGAGCTCAGAGGAGCGAAGTGAAATTTCTAGAGCGTTGCAGTACAGAGATAATGGTGCTGTGGAGGAATAGCATTGAAATTTCTACGGCGTTGAGATTTGGTTCATACGGGAGGGAGAACGCGGCGTTTTGAAGACTTTTTGGTTATTTAATCGGGTAAGATTTATTTAAAGTCTGCTCTGATTTGTTGATCTTTGCAGATTTTGAGTAATTTTATTGATTAGTGATGTAATTGTGCATATCATATCCCACCAAAAATTAACAAAATTAAAAGAAAAACAAAACATGTCGTCAGATAAAAAAATTTCTCATTCTTTTACCGATAAAAATAATTTTCTATTTTTTATGTTTTGGAAAATAATTACGACAAAAAAAATAAAGAATAAAGAATGGAAAAGGAGCCAAAAAAAAGAAACGTGGGGCCATCTCTAACTGAGGGCTGGCCAGATAACTCGTTTTAGCCATCTAATTCTTCAAGATATTAATATTTTAATAAACAATACATGGCCATATTTGCATCTGTCTCTGACTGAGTGTCAAATGGTTATAGGACTCGTTTTAACCTTGTCACAAAAAATCGTCTCCAACCGAGGGCCAAAGTGTCATAAGATCAAGCATAATTTATTTAAATTTAAAAACTACAACAACTTAAATTTAAAAACTACAACGGTAACTGGCCCAGAAAAAAAAATTAGAATTTTTAAAAATTAAAAAAACGGCCCAAAAAACCAAAAAAAAAAAAAATTGAATACAACGGCTAGTCAGCTAGTCGTTGTATTCCAATTTTTTTTTAAGCAATCATGTTAGATCTAACCGACAGGATTACCCTATTTTTTGGCCATCCCCGGGTTGGCTGCATGCAGCCAGCCCTCTAGCCTAACTCTCTGTTGGAGATAATTTTCGGGCTATTTTTAACTTTCTGAACCTTTCAGTTGGAGATGGCGTGAGGCCACATCCTAATTTTTTATTAAATGTTTAGCCAAGTAGCCTATGTTCCATGTTCTTATTTTTTGGTCAACGCATTTTGTACTTCTTATTAATTTGTTAAAAGTTTCAAAGTTAGGGCACTCAACAAATTATTATTAAGAGTTTTAATAATATATGTTCGGTTGTTCATTTTTACTTTTTTTTTTTATAATATTCACTACATCTTTATTGGTTATTTTTCATTAAAATTAAAGTTTTTTTTTACTTTTGTTAATTTTTCTTTATTATTATTATTATTATTATTATTTTTTTTTTTTTTTTGACATAGTGGTTTTTAGGATACAAACACTTATCAAGTGCAACAGTTACATGATCCATGTGATTGTGTATTTGTTTAATTAGATGATGTAGTGGACCCTTGAAGTAGAGAAAGGACTTGCCCACATCGAGTTTTCCAATGCCGGAAGCAACCATTTGTTTTCAAAGCCTTTGGATGCTTGGGAGAGGTTCGGGAAGGTGAAGGTTCATGGGTTTGATGTGTGTGTGTGTGACTCGCTCATTGACATGGTTGAGAGTTTCAAGCAGGTGTTTGATGAAATGTCTGAGAGAAACATGCTTTGTTGGAACATTACGATCTCGAGGTATCTTAGGTGCAGGAGGTTTGAGGAGGCTTTGGATGTGTTTCGGGGGATGCGATGTGAGAGCAACGAGAAGCCTGATGAAGCTACGGCTGTAAGCACCATTTCGGCTTGCACAGCGCTGAAAAATTTGGGGGTTGGTAAAAAAAATCATGAATATGTTAGAAGTGAACTTGGATTCACTGCTAGAACTGGAAATGCATAAATGTGGTTGTTTGAATGAAGGCCGGAGAATTTTTTATGAAATGCCGGTGAAAAACATGTTCTGTTGTACTTGTGTGGTATCTGGCTCTGTAAATTGTGTAGGTTTGGTGAGGCAAGAGAAGTGTTTTATGGGTATGTATGTACAATTCAATTATACTACCATTTTAACGAGGCGGGCGGCTCTATTCCAAGAGATGCAAACTAAAATGTTAGGGGATAAATTTACAGCGGTTGCTCTTCACAGGCTGTGCTCGGTTGGGAGCATTAGAGCAAGAGGAATGGATTCGCAGGTATATCGAATATAACAGAATTAAAACTGATGCAGTTGTTGGTACCGTGGTTATAGAAATGTATGCAAAATGTGGGAGCACGGACAAGTCTTTGGACTTCAATCATTTGTGGGCTTGCAAGGAATGGCAAGACAAGCAAAGCAATCGAGTTCTTCTTGAAAATGGTACAGATTGACATGAAGCCTGATGATTTCACCTTCATTGTTGTCTTAAGTGCTTGTGTTCACAGAGGGTTGGTAGATGAGGGTCGTGAGTTCTTCAACTCCATGAGAAAGATATATGAGAGATTGCACCGAAGTTATAGCACTATGGTTGCCAGATCGACCTTATTGGCCATGTTGGACTGTTAGAAGAAGCAGAGGAGCTGATAGAAAGGATTCCAAGTGAGATTATAGTCCTGATTTCTATATGTTTACATCCATCGTCAGTAACTGCACATTTCAATCTAAAATTTTGGTTTAGAACCAAAAAAGTCGAAGTATGATGCTAATAATTTGGTTCCACAAGAGAATATGAATATTTGTAAAGCATAGAACAATTAACAAGTGAACAACTAGTCAATATTGCAAATGAAATGTCTGTAAAACGAGGAACAAATCGTAATCAAATGTCCGACTAATGGAGCTGGGAAAATGAGAAAGACGCTGACGTGGTCTGCGGGAGAGTATAATGCAGGAATAGCAACTATTCAACCGATCTGGCAATGCTCTCTCTTCAAACCCTTTGCCTTTTCCGTTTGGGTTCATCTGTAGTAGTCGTCATTTGATTAGTGGGATGATGATCAGATGCGTCATGGCTTGGTCCTGCACTTGACTCATCATACAATCAATCTGGATGTGGTTCAGATTCATATCTATACACCCCATCATCCATACCATGCATATTTTCCTTCAAAGGTTTGTTCCATACTAGATTTACCCCTGTTTTCTTCACTCCAATACCCTCTATAAGAATAACAATCTTGTCCCCACCTTGCAAACTGAGCTTATCGTTCGATAATTGTCCCTGCCAAAAAAACCCCCTTTGCACACGACAGAGGCCCAGAGTGGCCTTCAAAGTAGTATGCTTGGTACAATTTACAACAGTAATGACAGGATGACAATAATTTTCTCCGATTTTCGAGTGAAGGAAGCAGAGAGTCAACACTTTAAAATTACGATCATCACACTGAGGAACATCAAAACTGACTCTATTGCCGTCTGCGACAATTTCGAACCAATCTGGAATATCATCGATCTTATTAAGAAAAATGCCACCATTTCCGCAAGAAGTCCATCCCTATAATATATATACAACGTAATATAGTAGTGTCAAATACTTGTACATGTTCGTTTGTGTTTGTGTGTGTGTGATAGAGAAAGACAAGAGTCTGAGACAACGAGAGAGACCTGTAGGATTTTTTTTCTAAACTCAGTTGTGAGATTGGTGCATCCTTCCATATGAAGCTCTGTCATGGAGTTTAATGATTCACCGAAGCCTAAACTTGGAACCTCTGTGATTTTGGGCGAATCCAATAGAGTCAGGTTTCTCATGTTTGACATGTGCAAAAAGTCTGGCATTGTTTCCAATGCAGGGCAAAAATATACGCCCAAGACTTCCAAATTTGTTGGTAAATCAGGGATTGCACGAAGATTCTTGCACCCATGTATGCTCAATTTTACAAGATTTGAAAGACCACTGAGGCTAGGTAGGCTACGACCAGTGACTCCAATACTCAACCCTTGCAAAGAAATTAGATGGCCAAGGTCGTTGGGGAATTGTTTTATGGCTGTATACGTTGCATCAAGATGTCTCAATGATACCATCTCCCCTAAGCCCTCGGGCAGTTCTCTTAATGAACTGATATCCAATAAAAGAATCTCAACAGATTTCAACTTACAGAATTCCGTTGGAAGATACCTAAGCTTATGGCATAATTGAAAATTTACCCAAGCGAGTTTTTTAAGTTGACAGATGGATGGGTGAATCTTGGACAAACTCGAACAGCCTACAAATTTCAATTTTCCGAGATTTGGGATCCTTGAAAAGTCTGGTGACTCTTTTAACTCACGGGAACCAGCGAGATCAAGGATTTTCAAATTTTCGAGCCGCTGCAGAAACCCAAAAGAAAATATCATTCAAAATCCAAGAAGAATATGGCTTAAAAATAAAATCAGAGTGGGAATTAATTATAACCTGCTAGGGGTGATTGTACCTTGGAATTCGTCCATTTTCTGAGTTTGCTGAACTGCAGGTCAAGAGCAACAAGTTTAGGCTGATTAAAAAGGTGCTTGGGAATGTCCTTGAAAGGGAATCCCTGCCAGCACAACCATCTCAACTCTTTCGGAAAATGTTTGAAGCTTCCTGTGAGCTTTACATAGTTGAGCCTTAGCAATCTCAGTTTTTTCATATTGACAAATGCTTTTGTCCTGAACCTAGCCTTTTTTTTAGAGCTTGGCAAATCTAGAGAAAGTGCTTCAATTTCTTCAGTTCCCTGTTAGGTAAACAAAAGGACATATGATGAATAATAAAAGGGTAATTTGGGTCTAAAAAATGATTTACTTACAAACAATTGTCATATAATCGGTTGGAAATCGATTTAATTGCTTCTATTTCCACGTGAAGGTTTATTGTACTTGTAAATATATTTCTAAATATTATAAAATGTAAGCAGTTGCATTAGGATATGATTTAGCGAGCACTAATATTAAACTTTATTGAGAAACTACTTACAGATTTATTTGACAACACGTCTATTACATCTTCAGGGTTCCACAGTCTACTCCATCTTCCAGGTTCAGTAGGAGATTTTTCAGAAATGATTGTCTTGCCCATTTCTCGAATCAAATCATGCATCTTCAGCATATCTCATTCAACAGTTATAAGGCATCGTTCACGGAGAACACTGATTCCTATTATTGGAGATAACCGACATCCATCTAATATTTTTGTGACATAATCCTTGTTCACATAACCCAGGCCGATTTCAAGAAAGAAACATATATCAAGGAATATAGCCTTCTCAATATCACCTAGCCCATCAAAGCTTATTCTTAGTTTTTTAATAATGTCTTCTTCAGGTATTCTTTCCAATTTCTCCAGATAGCTTTCCCACTCTATTATTGGTCTGCCAATAAGAGAAGAGCCTAAAACTTGGAGTGCTAACGGCAGACCCCCACAATAAGAAACTACCTTCTTTGACAATTCAAGATATTCTTCATCAGGAGCTTCTTCTTCAAATGTATGCCAACTGAAAAGCTCAAGAGCTTTTTCTTCATTCATTCCCCAAGCTGGATATCTCATTTTCACTCTCAGTTGATTTAGTATATGCTCATCTCTTGTTGTTATGATAAGTATACTTCCTGGACCAAACCATTCACGATTTCCAGCTATTGCATTTAGTTGCTCCACTTTATCTACATTGTCAACAATGACAAGTACCCTTCTACGTTGGAGGTGTTGTCTTATAACAGTGATCCCTGCAGCAACGCTACTAATAATTTGAGGGTTGGCATGTTGTAAGATGTCAGAAATAAATTTTTGTTGCAAACAGAGCAGACCATGTTGGCTTGTACCATGGTGGCAAACATCTTCAAGGAAGAATTTGAATTGGAAGCTATGATGAATTTTGTTATAAATGGCTTTGGCAACAGTTGTTTTGCCCAATCCACCCATCCCCCAAATTCCAACCATTTTAACGTCATCTAATCCACCACTTGAAAGATCTTTGATAATCGGTTGAACACGAGAGTCGATTCCAACCGGGTATTTGGCCACGTGCAATTCATTTGTGCTAGGAAGCAATTCCCTAATATTCTTCTCAACAATTCTCCTAATAAGCTTTGCTTCATGCCTGAAAATTCAATTAGTCAGCATTAACTCAATGAAGGATTACTAGAAGCTATCACCTTCACTCAATTAGTAAACATGTACGACATGGAGGGTGATAATATAGCCCGACTTCTTAGACTTCCAATAAAGGTTTAAGAAATTATGGTCTAGGATTTGTGAAAAAAAAATAGAACCAGGGAAGATTTGGAAGAAAGACACTATAGTCTGTTGAATTGAATTTGTGGCTCTATTCCGATCGGCCCATCTGTTTAGTTCCTTTTGTTTGGACCATGTGCTTGCCACGTGAGTGGCTTGGGTATTTGCAGCAGCTAGTATATAAGGCATGTGATGCTTTATTTTGTTTAGGAAAACTAATGAAAATGACTTGAAAACTTTGAGTTTTAATGATAAGAACAAAATAAAGGGTAAAATGAATAGTACCAAGATTGATTTTTTAGTGTAAAAATGTGGTTTTTCGTTAAAATGAACAGTACCGGGTGCTTTTCGTTAAAGTTCCCTTGTTGTTTCGGTTGTTGAGGGAGATTGAGTCCAGCCGACACCTTTAGAGGAGAAAGAAAGCTGTTGTTCTTGTGGTTTTGGACAATTACTCATTCAAAGATATTGGTGGTATTTTGTGGCTTTTAGGAGAAAAGATTTGGTATGTACTTTCTTATTCTCCAATTGTTTTTTGTTTGAGTGAAAGTTATTAGGTGTATGTGGGATTTGGAATTTGAGAGCTAAAACTATATTTGTAATCTTCATTTTGATTAATAGTGAAGTTTTCTCTCCTTCTCCGACTGGATATAGGCTTAAGCCGAACAAGTACAAATCTTCATGTCATTTTGAATTGTTCGTTTTTGTCCTCTTTTTCCGTATTAATTTATTGGTTTCACATTTAGCACTTCTGCACAATATGATGTTTCTCATTGGTGCAATTATATACATATACAAGTCGACTAAACTAGTATATATCAATTTGATACACAGATTTCAACCTAAAATCAATTTGCGATATATAGGAGAGAGATGCCCAATATCAGTTAAACCACAAATAACCTTATTTTTTCGATGCTTGGACTTGGAGTAATGTATATGTAACTTTCAATGCCAAAATTTTCATTTTAGTAACATTATTAAATTTCATTTTAGTAACATTATTTTTTTATGTCAAATTTGTAAGTCATGAGATGTGTCACCAGTAAAAATTTAATCATAAAAAATCACATCATATGATTTATAAAAAGGGAATTTTGATTTAGGTGCTTAATTTTTAAATTTGTTAGACCAAACACATCCCTAGCTTCTAAACTTTTTACTAAAGTACTTTCTACAATTTTTGTGCCACATTTTAAAACTGTCTTCTTTCTAAGATACAAAAATAATATCCAAAGCTCCTAAATCTAGTCTTATTTATACCAAAATTATTATTAGTATTAATCCAAATTAAATTATTAAGTTATCAAACAATTAATGATGCCACTTAATACTACTGTTTAGTGTTATTTCGTCTCACTTGTAAGTAAGGTCTTAGATTCAAGCCTTGCTAAAAGCAAATTCGAACAAAATTATTATGGCTAACTCTATATAAGGCCTAACACTCCCCCATCTTTTAGTGTAGATAATATTGAATGTGTTTAAAAAAGTTATCAATTAATAATATGTTCAAAAAAAAAAAACTAAATGTACCTAAAACTAAAATCAAACGTATCTAGTTAAACGTACTAATCAACAATATGTACAAAAATTAATATACCAAAAACTAAAAACAAGCGTACCAATCCATAATATGAAATAAAATCATAGTATGAAAATTAATAATAAACGTATCTGTGATTCATATTGAATATAATCAGAAATCTAGGAATTCTAATCGTAAACATATCAATAATGTATACAAATAATTCTCTCAATAAAATGTATGCATAATAATTTAAAAAATATAAACATCCACCATTTTCGTTATCTTGATTATAAGATTATATTTGAATTTTAGGAGAAAAAGAATCTTTTGTACGAATTTTTTTTTAAATGACTGGATAAATATTTTGAATGAAA